TTAGAGACTTCAATTTAGCAACTACTTTGTATGCTCTTCGTTCACACATCGATTTGTTTCATATTGAAAAATAGTCAAATAATGATTGTCTGCTGTCATTGCCAAGCATATCTAGCGTGATTATTATGAAATATATGAATAACTCCTCAGACACAGAGGCTTCAAACTACGACACCGCCTCTTGTTCATAGATAAGTAAGGGCAACTGAAATAGACGACGGTTCCAGGGGATTTGAGCAGCTGCAGTGTCTCTTTGTTTTGTCGTGTTTTTATCAGCAGATTCTGATGCACGATTCTATATTTAAGGCGTTACACGAAAGCTGTGAAAGATGAAATATTATAAATCAGAAATATTACTGATGAAGAAAAATGGCGGAGCAAATATTATAATGTAAGATGCATCGATATACTGCGCGTGCATAAATCCTCTGCTTGTGCGCTTAAATAATTTTACGGCATTCAAAACAATGATGCTACGTCATAATTGACATGTGGTTTCATTAGAGAAACAAACATAATAGAAATTTCTGACACATGAGCTGACATTTGAGAATTGCAACGCATATAACATATGGATGAAAGGGCATTCATCGGTTGTCAGAGTAAATCCAAAGAACTCATGACACCAGAACTGTGGTGCGTTCGCAATGCCTAGAAATCTGAGGCGATAGTTCAATCATATCAGTCACATGCACCACTGTTCATTAAAAATTAATTGACGCTTAGGCATTGCAGAGACAGCGACGAACAGCGCAAGAGAAGACATGTCCAAGTTAGACAAGATCGAGCAGTTTCTCTTAACCGCGAAAACTTCTACAAATTCTGAAAGGTCAGCTGACGAGAAAATGGTCATCGGTATTCAGCACATACATGTATTTACGCTGCTAAGGTAACAGAGCATAGGAAAACTGTGACTACAAACCCGGACCTAATGATTAGAGAACACCGTTCTTGTTAATTCTCAAGGAAAGCATGATGAAACATATTCATCATGCCCTCTTCTTTCTTCTCGGCTGATAATGATGAATTTTAGTTTAGGATTCATGAACTGAAAGGGAGAAATGGCAGACAAATCGTTTGAAATATTCTACCAAGAAATTGAGACGAAATACCGTTCTGCATCATTGTTGGGGAAATTCAGAGCCAAAATGATGCCAAGCTAGACCATTGATGGTTCCAAACACAGTCGAGAAAGAAGGAGTATTTGGAACCTCATTGATTTCTCCTCTACAACTCAGCTACCTGCCTTTCACGGTATTGGAGGTATCGATCACTATACCTGCTCGGTCATCTCCCGGCTCATGAATAGCCGTGCAGCGTAGCTGAGGCAGACAGTGAAGTCTGTGATCACAACCTATCCTGCGTCTTCTGGCACCTGCGGGTGTGGCAGCATCGGGATGGTTGGCGAAGCTTTACAGAAAATGACAAAGGTAGAAGTCAGCAATTGAGCCGCTACCCATTCTGAACGGAGGCAAATATCGCAATGCCATCACAGCACATCATAAGGTTTCTTGTAAACTACACCGAGAGTGGGAGCTCACGGTCGGAAATCGGAAGGTCTTTTCACTCTGGAGGAAAGAACAGGAGATAGTTGATGACGTCGCAAGATATGGGTTGGATATAGTTAGTCGACTAAATGAAAGGGATTTAGAATTCTAACCTTTATGTGTGGAAGCAATGTTACACAGTGTTCGACTCTGCGACCAGCGACTATACTTGCGTTGGTCGGATAGAATTCGCCGCTGAATCACTGAACGAACCGAAACAGCGAATATCGAAGTATTTGCATACTGAAAGTATGAAACTCTGGCTGAAACATAATTACTAAAAGGAGGAACGGAACACGTGATCACGTCTGAAAACATCGATGCAAACTTTTCTGTATAATAATCTAGCATACAGCTAGTTCTCGATACCATCTGCCCAGTGATACAGTTTTGCATCCATACACTGCAGGTGCTCAAACAAATCGGAGCTGTGGCGCATTTAAATGATCCCCTAGGCCGCTAGTAGCAAGAAGACGGTACGTATACGCAGTTTAAATCCGGATTAAAACATTATTTTTCTCAACGGGTTATCGGAAACTATCAGTTTGCTAATAGACTCCAATATCTAGACTTACTTTTATGTATAAATGTTGAATGACTGTATTTATAGCTTTCCGTCAGTTTTTTGGTGAAAAGCATTATGTTATTAGATTACAAAAAGTGGCATATGGAGACTGGTTTTTCAGTTTAGCACACTGAGTGCGTAAGACACGTGACTCATTTTCGATAAATATAGAAGACGATGATTTTGAACATCTAGAGATGTTAGCGATTCAGCAGTAAGAGAAACCGAGACCGAGGCTCTTCAATGTCTACTTCTTGCTACAATGCTTATGGCTTAGGTGATGTTGCAGCTAAAAAAAACAAATCAGCGATGAACGGTATTCTTCAAATACTGACTCTGTCGTTTACTGCAAATTCTACAGATACTTGGAAAGATAGAACATGGCCATCTTACGCAATGCCACGTCATCACAGCACTGCAGCTGAGAGTTAGTGCTGATCCATGATTTACTCCGTTTATAAAAACTAAGGCAGTAAACATCGCTGTCGCAGCAGCCATCGACGTGGAGCCTGCACATTTCTTTGCACCATTTTCACAAAGTGTGGTTTTACGACGCAGACGGAAACAGAATAATGAGAAAAACATCACATCAGTGACTTATGACAAAGAGTATTTAGGATAGCTGACAGCCGTCCTTTCGCAACAAACTCTCCTCAGAAGATTCACTGAGAGCACTACTCGCTCAGAAGAAAAAACAGTGTTATCTTTTTGATAGAAGTAGACAAAGAATACGTCATTATGCTGATGCATAAGAATGATTTCAACTGTGTTAAACGCGGCTGTTAGCGAATCACAAGGAGCACGTCATGAAAAACAAAGAATGAGAAATTAACCTGATTTGCACCCAAAATATGGCACATGGAAGAACTCTTACCTCGACAAGTGCAACGATATGTCATAGTCGTTGAGGTCGTTGCAATATCGTACTGGATGATAAAAAATATCGCTGAAACTTTTTGCCACGTCGACGAAGACAAACAGATGCTTAGGACGAGGAACTCGAGGCAAAAACTTGCCAGAGACAGCGAAGACGCGATGCCAGAAGAACCGGACCAAAGTCAACGCTTTGCATCGCCTCGAGCAGTGCATGTGCGCGCAGACGCCGTTCAAGTCATCCATTAAACGAGTGCGTTTAAAGATTGCTTTCAGAAGTCGAAGGCAGATGGCGCTTGCGGCGTCAGGTGCGCCAAAATAAAGTGGCCATTCACAAGAGGACCTTTTCACATCGACACTCTGTGCATCACGTTTGGCGTCCTACTGTCAACATGAAATTAAATGCAAAAGATTAAACCTAAATAAAGTTTGCTACTTTGTTTCGCCTCCTTCTACTCGTTAACTGGACTCCAGTTTTCTGTATTTGAATATTTAGCAATAAATGCATGCGGCTTTTATCCGGCACCTTCAAAGTGCCAAGCAAACTACTAACTTGTGCAATGGACAAGTAAAATTATACCGTTTAAAATTGATAATCAATTTCAAGAGTATTAGTTGATAGAGTAAGGTTGGAGTTGTCAAAACTTCCATTAGAGAACTTTTAAAAGGTAGAGGATAAAAGAATTAATCTTTCAAATGTATCAATACTTACCATTCGATAAGTAAAGTAATAGTTTAAGTACCAGGGTCATAATAGTACAAAGCTCTACAAATCTTATAATAAAAAAATACAAACCGACGCTTCTAAATTTCCAATGAATTCCAATGCAGCTGCTAGAGGTGAACTTGTTTGCAACGAGGAGCGTTACCTTTGCCGTAGCATCCAACATCCCGTAAATTATTCAGAGGAGCCAAATGACCAGACATCATTAATCTGGCTACTCTGTCTTTACCCGCGACACCTCCGAAAAGGATGACAACAAAAACAATATCCCCAATAACTCACCGTATATCAGCGAACGAGCTTCCTCAACATCAAAGCCAATGAGAAACGTTAATTTTCCATGGAGCACAAATCGTTTTAAGTGCCAGGCGCTTGGTTGCATTGCATCTTAAACAAATTGAACTTAGTTTCTTCACTTTCTATGAAAAGTGGGTGAAAAGCCATAGCATCTAACCAAGTTAATGCCCATTGCCATTCTGAAGCTGCTCTGAGTGCGCAGTCAGATAATTGCTCTGCTGGGCATTATTTTCGGTAGAAATTAATCGCTTGTGCAAACCCGTTATAAAAAAACTTTTGACGGCGGCTAAGATTATCCGCCATATTATTTGGGTCATTTTGGCCCCTATACTGCACATTTTTCGTTTTAATTTTTTTGCCGATATTTTCG